TCTTCTTTCCCTTCTTTTTTCCCAATCCATCCATTTATCCATCCATCCATCTAATGAATATTAATCTCTCTGTCTTCAAAAGAAATGCATAAGGTTTTCCATGACCATAATAGTCCTTGAGGACCATGAACCTATCAGGGGAGAAAAATTGTGCATGCAAATCATTATCAGTGCCCAAAGAATGGCATAAACCAAATGCTATGGAAATTCAAAGGAGGAAGACATCTTCTGGCTGGAGAAGATGCCACTTCAGCTAGGCCCTGAAAGATGGCAAAGATTCTGATATTCATTAAGCCTTGAGTTAGTAGAGTTCTATAACCTCAAAATTCAGATTTTGGCTTTTTAAGTTCTAGAAAAATTTCATAATCATTGTCAAAAAATTCAAACCAAACGGAAAATACATAGCGTAAAAGGCCTGACTCTCATCACTGTCTACCTACCTTTCCGCGAAAGGTAACCTCCTCTCCAAAGGTAACCGCCATTCATCGTTTATTATGTAGTTGTCCAGACTCTTTTCTGTACTATTAAATTAGAGCCCTATAGTTATTTGACTAGGAAGATATTATTAAACCCATTTTACCAAAAAGTGGGTTGAGTAACTTCTTTGGGCTAAGGAATGCTTTAAGTGAATGTTCCATCATACCTTGTTATAATAGGGCTATTGGCTTGAAGTGATTTAGAAGGACTCAATTCAGTACTGTGAGTAGATCTTGTTTATGAGGAGTCATTTTGACCAGAACTGGAAGAAGCCTAGCGGTGGGTACTCACATATTAGTCAGATGAAAGGATTCCACTCACAACAGAAAGTCCTATATATACTGAGATGGGTATTCAGGTGTCAGCAGACCTTTTGGTATACCATAGGCTTTATTTTTGTCTCCGACAGAAGGTGAATTTTACTCCAATAATGGAATGCTGATGAAACTGTTGAAGGCTTAAGAGAAATAAGACATGTTCTCCTCTACAACAACACTTTTAAAATAAACCAAATGAATTATTTATCGACTTGTGTCTAATACAACAGCCAACTGAATTTACTCAAGCTTCTTCCTCTCATATCCAAAATCAGACTTTAAAGGAACATATCATAGAGCAGATGATGGGAACAAGTTATACGAATGTAGAACACTTACCCCAGACTGCCATGAAAACAGCAAAGAAGACAGTGGCTCCATTGTCAAAAAGGTGGGTTACCTGGGAACATTATGAGTCACAGTTAAACTAATTTCCTATATATAATATTGCAATTCACGTTTTTGTTTTTTTTTCTTTCACGTTCTGTAAAAATAGCTCTGACAATGCAATGAATTTGACAGGGTTTCTTTGGGGGATATTCCTTTTGGACCATAAGGAAGAAGGGATTTTTTTTCTGTGAAATAGTTTGGGTATGGAAAGGAGAATTTGTTCCATTTATGTGGCTATCACTTAGTTGAGCATTTATCAGCAGCCCCAATGGTGCTGTTAAGAATTTCCTTTTGCACACTATAAAAACTAACACACATGCATATCTCATGTGGATAGATTTATATTTAAGACCAGGTAGGGGGCTTCCCTGGTGGCACAGTGGTTAAGAATCCACCTACCAATGCAGGGGACACGGGTTCGAGCCCTGGTCTGGGAATACACACATGCCATGGAACAACTAAGCCCGTGCGCCGCAACTACTGAGCCTGCACTCTAGAACCCATGAGCCACAACTACTGAAGCCCACACGCCTAGAGCCTGTGCTCCGCAACAAGAGAAGTCACCTAAATGAGAAGCCTGTGCACCTCAACGAAGAGTAGCCCCTGGTCGCCGCAACTATAGAAAGCCTTTGCGTAGCAACAAAGACCCAACACAGCCCAAAATAAATAAATTTAAAAAAGAAAAAAGACCAGGCAGGTATTAATGTTGCTGCTGTAAAGATTTCTGATTTCCCCAGCACTATTTTTAATGCTTCATTTATTCTCTTTGAAAACATGGCCATTTTGTGTGTGCAGTTTTGAGCAAACATTTTCTGGGCTGCCCCCTGGACTCTGGCATTATAAAGAAGAGCAACCCATTAACACAAACCACTTCCACCTTTATTAAAGCCTCAGGTAATCACTACATTTACCTCTTACACATAACACAAAGACAGCTAGCAAATACTTTATTGCTAGAATAATATATTCTATTGCAATCATCATAGCAGAAAGCAAAAATATCTCTTTTCGCTGTAACACTGCCAAGCTCATTTCCACCTCCAGGATAAATCACACCAACGTCAAGCCAAACTGAAATGATGACTGATATGTTCGTAAAGCATAACCTTTTTTTTTTTTGGTGCTTTATAGCTCTCTGTAAAGTATACTTTACTGTCCCTTGGAGAACGTGCCAAGTATAAACAGGTCTTTTCCTATTATATCAGATTGTGATGTATTTCAAAATTTTCCAAAAGTTTATGACTTTTCTTTCTTTAAACACAGGAGAGATGCAGAGCATTCAAACACCTAGTGTGAGACAAAAGTCTAAAGCCAACTTATTTCGATGCCAGAAGGAGCGTTACACTATGTATATCAGGTGGTCAGCATCAAATCAAGCCTGAAAGCCTTGATGGTAAGTGGTTGGTTTGTGCTCCCTCCTAGGGTATTTCCCGGTGGACACTCCCTGCACCATCAGGGAAGATTCCGGAATGGATTGTGGTTGTCATTGTTTTAGGCTGTGGGGATCATTTTTCCTCCTTCTCTGGGTAACATGGCTCAAGTACAACCAATTGGAGTCCTTCCCTGGAACCGGTAAGAAAACACTTGGAGAGACACATTTTCCCACTGCAGTTACCGACTTGGAAATATGTGAATCAGGGTGAATTAATAGGGACTTCTAGCTCCTCCTAAGATGGTAAGCTAGGACAGGCTGATGGCTCCCTCTGCCAAAATCAAACCTGGAGAAGCAGGAGAGTAGATTTCAGGAACTGACAAAACACAAAAACACACAAACCAAGATCCTGAGAAATGCCAGGGAAAACAGAAGGTTGCCTTAAGCTGGTGTGTGTGTGTGTGTGTGTGTGTGTGTGTGTGTGTGGGTGTGTGTGTGTGTGTGTGTGTGTGTGTGTGTGTGTGTGTGTGTGTGTGTGTGTGTGATGGTGGGGAGTGGTAGTGGTTCCCAAGCAGAGTGAGAACACAGGTTAGAGAAATACATAAGTTCCAGTCTAGCCTCTCCCTCAATGGCATTGGAAAATTAGTTTCCTCTCCCTCAGAAATCAGCTGCAACAGGTCAAATCACAAGTGCTGGTATTCTTGGGGGTAATATAAGGGACGCCCAGAGTCCCACTTTGTCGGAGAGATGATGAATGTAGGTGCTGCCTGGCCGGCTGGCCTCGAACATTCACTTCTCAGTCCTTTCCCTTTTAAACCCCAGGGCTGGTAGTTACCATCAAGGGAGAGCGCCTCCTTCCAATTCTGCTTTGTTCTAAACAGGCTTACAAATGAAACTCTGACCAGAAAAGTCCTCTGACAGAGCGACAGTGCACAGTGGTGCCTGGGACACGTTGTCCTCTTCCCTCTGTAAACTCACCAGGACTGACCTGGCCTCTGACCCTCACCCAAAGTGGTCGATACCTCCATGGGACAAGCACCCACAGGCCAAAATAACAGAATATCTGGGGAAGATGCTGCCTCCAAAAAATTCCAAAGTAGGCAATATACACCTTCTGAAACAGACATTCTGTAACAGCAGATCAAGAATTTAAAATAAGCGTACAAATATGTTTAGGGAGATACAGGAAGGAAGATGGAGGCCTGGAGCTGTGACAGTCAGCAGCCATCTTTCCTGTTATGAGAAGAGCACCTGTCTACGGAATGATCATATAGACAGGCGGCCAGAGAGTGAGATCTGAGGGCCTGGATGACCAGTTCTCGGCATGAGGTTCTGCTGCTCAGACAGTATGAGCTGCTCTAGTATCTTCTGCAGTGAAACGAGCCAGTAAATCCCTTTCTGCTTAAGCCAGTTTGATTGAGTTTCTGACCCTTGCAAGTACAAGTGCGAGCATCAGGGATAAAACATTCCTGATGAGCACAAGAGCTGTTGACTGACTTGGATCTGGGCTCCTATTTGATCCAATATTTCTACGCATCCTCAGTCTCATTAAATCAGTCCGGCATTTCTAATAAATTTTTCGAAAGGAGACTGTATAACTTCAGTTATTTCACTCTGAGGCTCTTAAGCCTTCCTTTTACTAAGTTTCTAGGCCAGACCAAATCCAAAATTTAGAATCTAAGCATCTTGAAGCTCAGTATGGCACAACGACGGGTTTTGCACTCAGATAAACCAAGAGCCAGCGACTTGCTGCTGTGTGACCACAGATAAACAAACTTCTACCTCTCTGAGTCTCTGAGTAAAATGGGAATAATAACACCTACCTTGAAGTTGCTGTGAGAATTAGAATAAATGTAGGTTGCCTAGCTATCATTATAATTATTATCGTTTTAGATCTAGAGAGTTTGGTAGGACAACCGACCAATGAAGGCCCTATAAAATCTGAGCACTCTAACTATTCATGATGATTATTTTAAGGAATTATTACAGCTCCCCTAAAAAAAAAAAAAAAAAAAGAATTTCACTCAAGGCAGATCTTTCACATAACAAACAAACATCACCCCAAGAAACAAACAAAACTGGGCTTCTGAGATTCTCCAAAAGCAGGATTTTTATACCTGAGTCATTCGTGCTTAACTCATGACCTTTTTTTTTTTTTTTTTGCGGTACGTGGACCTCTCACTGTTGTGGTCTCTCCCGTTGCGGAGCACAGGCTCCGGACGCACAGGGTCAGCGGCCACGGCTTACGGGCCCAGCCGCTCCACGGCATGTGGGATCTTCCCGGACCGGGGCACATTTTTTATTTTTTTGCGGTACGTGGACCTCTCACTGTTGTGGTCTCTCCCGTTGCGGAGCACAGGCTCCGGACGCACAGGGTCAGCGGCCACGGCTTACGGGCCCAGCCGCTCCACGGCATGTGGGATCTTCCCGGACCGGGGCACATCAGAAAGGGGTATGTAATAACATATAGACATAATGGTGTTATGTACTTTTTTTTCAAAGCACTTTCACATATACTATCTTCTTTGGTCCTCATGACATGCCATGGGGCAGAGAGGGCAGGTATCGCTGCCTGCATTTTAGAGAAGAGAAAGCTCAGGCTCAAAGAGTCTGTACATGTGCAAGGTCAAGGAGGTAAGTAGGTGACCTGAACTTGAATCTAGGTCTTTTGGACAATAATGATGATGAAGAGGAGGAAAATAATGGCAGTTGTCACTTACTGAGACCTTACCATTTGCTAAGCACTACGCTCATTATCACATTTCTTATAAAGCAGTCATGTGAAACGAGTTATCATGTTCTCCATTTTACAGATGAGAAAACTGAGGCTCAGAAGAGGTTAAATAACGCGTTCCTCTAGTAACAAGTGGTAAATAGCACAGTCAAGATTTGAACCTAATTTTCTCTGATTCCACCAACTGTTCTATTTGCTTCCTGTGATAATAACTAGAGCCAATACATTTTAAATACATGTACAGTAAAACAAATATCTGAATTAGAATACTGAATGATGAACGTAAGTCTCTCCTACAAGGTAAACTTGAGAATCAAAGACCAGAAAGGATGGAGAGAATGTGGTCACCACCATCTCTCAGGAAGGTGTATATTAAATTCAATCTGGGACTTCCCTGGTGGCACAGTAGTTAAGAATCCACCTGCCAACGCAGGGGACACAGGTTGGATCCCTGGTCCGGGAAGATCCCACATGCCATGGAGCAACTAAGTCCATGTGCCACAAGGAATGAGCCTGCGCTCTAGAGCCCACGAGCCACAACTACTGAGCCCGCATGCCACAACTACTGAAGCCCACGCGCCTAGAGCCCATGCTCCGCAACAAGAGAAGCCACCGCAATGAGAAGCCCCGCACAGCAACGAAGCGTAGCCCCCACTCGCCACAACCAGAGAAAGCCCGCACGCAGCAACAAAGACCCAACACAGCCAAAAAGAAGTAAATAAATTTATATAAACAAACAAACAAACAAACAAACAAATAAATTCAATCTGACTAAAATGCTGCCTAGTTGAAATTACCTTGGCATAAACGCAGCTGTCTGACAGCCTCATGAATGGACAGTATTTATCGCACACAGGACACATGATGATATCTGTAGCTTGGCAGACTTCTTTACTGGAAAAGAGAACAAAAAAGGACCACTTTTTGATGACATAACAGCATTTTTTTCCCCTTCAATCTCACCAGAATAGTCGACCAGTAAATAAGATTCAGTAGATTAAATTTTTGCCCTCACAAGCTTCTTAGCCTTTTCTTAGTTATTAATATAAACAAGTGCCTGCCCAGTTTAATAGTTTGATAAACCTACGTATTTATGAGGCTGTTTCTTGGCTTTTACATATTAATTAGTTAAGCTCAGGAAAATACATGAAGCAAAACATTGATTGTTTTTACCTCAGGTTATACAGAAGTCATTCACAACACTGCACAGGTTGGAAGCAATTTCATACTGAATTATGGGAACAATGAGATACCTCACAGTGCCAGTCTTAACTTCTATGTGCATGATAAATAAGAATAAATTATGGAGGAATAAATAAAAACACTAGGAAGTAGTTCTGGGAGAAAACCACATCTCACTAACAATTTCCCCAGAAATTAAAATATTTTTGCAGGTCACTTTTATTTTTGCAGTCACTTCTAAAAGGCACATTTATTTATTATTTAAGATCACTGTCTGGCCTTGTACGAAGATCTCTATGAATACATTAAACTATATTCTAGCAAAAGAGTCAAGATAACAATTGTTAACACTGAATCATTCACAAGGTTTCAGCAAGTTGGTGAGATGTCTTTCCAGCTTACAGGGTCCTTGTGAGAACACACAATTGATAAAAAAGGATGATTAACCCACTATTTTGCAGTATTAGTTAGAAAGAAAAAGGTGAAAAAGTCAGAAAAAGAGCAACTTTGAGCCAGCGAAAGAAAGTGATTTGTTCTGTGGATATGTAGTGGCTTGTATACCCATAAATGTGAGCTTTGCCTCCTTGGTAGCTGGAGACCACAGCAACAAGGGCAATGGATGGGCAGACCTAGTGAATTGAACGTTTTGAATTTTTCCAGGAGAGATTGGAAAGAAGTTAAAATGAATAGCTAAGTGGGCCGATCGTCTGTGAACACCCCAAAAACACAAATGCCCAACTCCAAATATAAGCAAAGGCAGGCTCACCCAGAGCTCCCCGTACCTGACTTGGCAGTGATCCAGAGTTATGATTCCATACAAAAAGACAAATAATCCAATGAAAGCGGCTGGGAAGAGCATGCCGGTGTACCAGCCCAACCAGGCAAAATACAGCCCAATCTTCTCTCCGAAGTACCGCCTGTTTAAGACACAGCAGCCTTGCAAATTATACTGAAGTGTTTAAAGTTAGGCATTATAACACTTTGCTCAGTCATTTTACTTTGTTGTGGCTTTGCTGATAACCATGCAGACAAAGTAAGCCGAGAGAATGGAACGTTTGACCAAATTTAAGCTCTGGACTTAAATTTCTTTTCTTATTACTCTAGATCAGAAATAGAATGAACCCTTCCATAAAAGAACAGGATTGCATGCAAGCTTGTTCTGAAAACACAGAATAAACCCAGCTCATTCAGGGAGTTATACATGATACTGTTATTGACAAGGAACCAGGGGAATTTGAAGAGTCGGTGCCAACACATCATCTCATTTTTGCCATTTCTGAGTGTGTGTGTGTTTGTAATGCATGTACTACAATTACATATATTTTTTAAAAAATAGTAAACAAAATTACTGTGAAAAACTTTTAAACACCCCTTTCGATATTTTGTAGTTTTACAAGATGTTTAAAATGCTAGAATCATAAGATGTTACAAAGAAAGAACTCTAATTACTGAGATCCAACATGAATCAATTCTGAGGGCAACTTTCCCTTTTAAGTGATGACTCTTCACAGGCATTGACATCTACCTCTATAAATATTTTCTTGAGACTAACCAGCCTGCCTGTGGTCTGTGAAGTTTGGTTTTTATTTCTTAAATATCATTATTGTGTTTTCTATGCCTTTCAACAGCTAAATTTCATAACTTGGAAGTTAATTACTTCTTAGTCCAATGTAAGAATATTCGAATTATTTTTTATTCTCCTTCTAAACGAATGTTGACCATCTGTTTCCAAATGCTGTCTGCTGCTTTCCTCCTAGAGTACTCAATGGCTCCTAAAAGCATGGATTATTTATTTATCCCATCTTCTATTGTGTCCCAACCGAAACCTTCCACTTCCAGAAGACTTTTCCAACATATATTCATATACACAAATATTCAGTTATTCATTCAACAAATTAAAAAATACCTACTATGTGCCAAAAACTGTGCTAAGTTCTGAGAACACAATGGCAAGCAAAACAAGCTTGGTCCCTCCTCCTATGAAGCTTGCAGGGTGACAGAGGAGACACACATAAATCAATTAAAGAAATAAGCTTATAATTATAAAACTGGGAAAAGAGCTACAAAGGAGGGGAACACAATGCAATAAGTGTATATAACAAAGCCATCTGACAACTCTAGCCAGGGAAGACTTCTCTGAGGACGTGACTATTGGGCTGATGCATGAAAGTTAACTGGGTGGGGTTAGGGATAGGCTAGAGTGCTTCCAGCAGAGGGAACAGAACCTACAAAGGCTGTGTGATAGGAGGGACCAGGTGAAATAAGGGTGGTGTGGCTGGAACACTGATAATAAGAAATGGGCTGGTGAGGTGGGCACAGGATAAGCCTTGATGGGCCTTAGCAGACCATGCTAAATGCATTGATTTTTCTCCTGAGAAAAATGAAGAGCCATGAGAGGACTGTAGCCAATCTGGGGACATGACCAGTTTCACATTCTGTCTCCAGGGTGGAGAATGGAGTGGAAGGGCCAGAAAGGAAAAAGGGAGACCATGTAGGGGAAAACAGCCATAGTCCAGGTCACAGGTGAAGGAAGCAGCAGTGGTAGAGGAGATGCTGGGATGTGGCCAGATTCCAGAGATATGGAGGAAGCAAAATCTAGATATAGGACAAGAACTATTTAAGAGATGAGATTCCCCAGTTGCTCCACAACTTCATTCCACTCAAAGCTTGCTTGTGCTTTTCATGTCCCCTCCCTTTGGCCAACACAAATCCCACTGCTCTTCCAGGGCTCAGCTCTGCACCTTCCACAGGGGCACTGGCCCATATCCATCCTTTCCGTTTTTCTCAATTGTTGTAAAACTTTTGGCCTCCATCACACATGTTACCAAATTATGCATGGTCTTGTTTTACAGTTGTCTCAAGTTTGCAGGGCTGGTTTTCCTGAAGGAAACTGTGCATTTCTCAAAGCCAGAGACCATGGCTTCTGTGTGTCTTTGCCAATAGTACTTAGCATTGTACGAGGAACGCAATGGGCAGTTAATTAATACTCACTGAAAAATGATAAAATCTTAATCAAGAAACTGTCACGGATGGGAGCTGCTTTGCCTGCAGCAATCTTCTGTAATTTTTAATCGATGTAATCCTGTAACATGGGACTCAGGCTGGGAAGAGAATTGGCTTTGATATTTTTTCCCTACTATTTTATCGTATATTGAGACTCGTCAAAGGCAAGTGATCTCATCTCAGAAAATACTGTCCACTCACCCAAAACATCTAGATCATTTGTTACTCACACAGAGAAGGGGACACAATTCGTCAATGGCCTTGGGTCAACAGGAGTAATAAACCCTTGTAACGAGGACTCTGGAAGGAAGAATGACTACCCGGGGAGACGAAAGGTAAAGTGAGTTGTCTTATTATTTCATTTTCCTCTGGCATCATTTTTTAAGGGCTTGGGGAAAAGTGAAATAAATCTGGCTAGTCTAGGAAACGAGACATGACTTTCTTTTTAATAAGGAATCCATGAAGTGTAGATTGTTACTACTCAATCTTAATAATCAGTCTCTAAATAAATAATGAGATGTCAGAGTACAATGCCTCCATGGCAGAAAGTTGGGCATACACAGACAGTTAAAGAGAACACACATTTTCACTGCACAAATATCATAGGTTAAAAGCAGATATACTCTTTTGACTTGCAGAATTAAAACAATCTTTAAAGGTTATTAGTTTTAAGTGAATATTAAAGTAAGCCTGAAATTTATTAGAACGACAGCACCCTCTATTTCCTACTTGCATAATAGTAACTGATATTCCATTTGTCACTAATATATGCAAGCAGTGTTACCTCTCTATAACTGTTATTGTTAATTTGTCATTAATAGTCACATGGGTGATGAGCTTCTTATGGAATCCTGGGGGAGGCCTGGCTGATCTCACATGCCCCTTTCCAAGGCTCTTTTGGAGGAAACACCAGCCTCATCAGAGGGAGGTCAGGTTTACCAAGAACGACCCATGTCCTCTGATAGGCTGCCCTCTTGGGAAGAAGTTAGATTTGAGTGTCAGCTGTGAACCTCAGACCGTTTTTTTTTTTTTCCCCAATGTTGGCTTGTCCCAGTTGACAGTCTGCCCTAATCAGCCTGTGTAAGCTTTATATTTGCATCTGGTTAAAAACTCACCTTACAAGATCCAAAGGCTGGTATTTATACCACACGCCCCAGGAGGCCCAGCACTCATAGAGCAGATGGCGGTGGTTTACTGCTCCGTGGGTTCTAATGGAGTTTTTACTTCTGTAACTTCCCTGGATAAAAACACCACTGCTGGTGAGGTAATACCCACAAAAGCCAAAAGGAAAAGCTGATAGTAATATTAGCCTTTATGGCAGGAGTAGCAATAGGGGTGATATGAGGAAAAAACAGATCCATTCTATTGAAGGGAAAGCAGTATGATTAGTTATTCTGGACACGATGTTGATGCCATGTAGTAAAAAGCCCATGCTTGCCTGAATCAGGCAGGTCTGAACTGAGTTAAAATTCAGTTCTGTTACTTTTAGGCTAGGAGATCTTATACTCTCTGAGCCTTGGATTCCCAGGTCATAGTGGAACTAACAACATCTGCCTCATTAGGTTTCTTCTGTGGTTTGAATGAATAGAGCATCCTGCCCCAGAGGCCATGCCCAAGACTTATAAGTTCTCTTTTCCACTTGTCTCAAGATAGAGTAGTTGGTAAACAGCCATAGCTGTAACCTGGTCAAATGGTCTTGTCTATAAGAAAACCCTAGAATGCAAGAGTGGTAAGTTAGCTAAAAATTACAATAATCCAAATATAATTCAACCTCCTCATGGAACAAATGAGGAGACCGTGGGCCAGTGCAGTAGGGCGTTTCTAAGTTCAGTTAGTGGAAATGCTAGTTTCACAAATAGAACAGGTACTTTCTGGAGGTGAACTAATTTTTGACATTTCAACTTGAGAAGCCCTTTCTTAGTGGAAAGTGAACAGGCCCGAGAGACAAGGAACTCAGGTTCTAGCTCAGCTCAACACCAACTCACTCTAATATTTCTCTAAACCTCTATTTAAATTTTTACCATAAAACAAGGCAACAAGAGCTGCCCTTCCTGCCTCTGAAGGCTGTTATGTGGTCAAGTAATATAATCAAGTTAAACTGAGAGCAAAAAGCCAAGAGAGCGATTATGTTATTACTGCAGCTGCTATTACTAGTTTGGAAGCTCTCTTTTTATAAAATACAGGGCTTTAGCAAGATGCCCACCACCCACTTGCCTGCACAGAAACTTCTGTCCACCTACCACTGCTCAGACACTGCCCTTACCGCGGGCAAGGGATGGGCAGGGGGAGGATGCAGTCATCACTGCAACCCTTTTTTGGGGGGGCAATGCCAACTAATAACTACATGATATGCTTTGGGGACATCTGTCTTTAACATTCAGAAACACCTGTGTGTGACTCCAGAAAACCTTTGTGTCAAAATGTTTGCTTCTGTTACACAAAAAGGATCACTCCAAAAAGGTTTCATGCCTGTCTATAATAGGGTCTCAGACGAAAGCCTCTAGTCTCCTTAATGAAAAAGGCTTAAAAATTCTACACCATCCTCTCCATCCTCCTGGTGTTTAAAATCAAGAGAAGAAACACCATAAGCCAAATAAGAAGTATATTTTGGAAAGACTTGCCATTGGTGGATAGTTGGAACTGTTCTCCAAGCTTAATTGGCCAGCTGTTGACATTGTTTCTCATAGAAGATTTTTCTGAAAATCTCTCTAACTGTAGTTTCACCCTGGCTACTGTGTGAGGTCCTAGAGGATATGGGCTATGATATTTGTCTTTGTGTTCTCTGTGTTGTACTGCGACTGGTACAGGCTCAGTACCATGAAAATGACAGTAATCTCACACCAGTCATGAGAATTACGTCCCTGAAAACCCATGTTTTAAACATAAAGTGAATTCTGGGTTAAATTACCCAAAGTCTAATGGGGGAAACAGAGTTAAGGGTAATCACAGTTACATTTATAAAAGTCCTAATAGATGACAAAGACCATGTAGTAAATAAGGAGAATATAAAAATTTATACATCTTAAGCAACAATAAGTACAATACTATTAATTTCTATTTATCATCCTTTACTTCCTAGAGACTTTGCAAGATGGCTTCCTCCCACTCTCTAAGGATTAGCTATAAAATTTTTTGTTGCAGAGACTATATATTTCAGAGACATTTTCCCGCTGGGTCTGGCGCCTCATGCAAATTTTCAATGCCTCTTTAATTTTATGACTTGGGGTCCCTCAGCTATTCCTCTAAATTCATGCTGAGTGACTCTTGATTCAAGTACTCATGCAATTAGAATAAAATGACAGAGAGAAATAAATCCATGCTGGGGGAGAGATATCACAATGCAAATAGGCCCTCCCCAACTACCCACTGAACAAATTATTCTGAACAAATATCACATCAACAAACTCAATTAATCACTATCCCCAGAAGCTGATTTAATAAGACGGAATTGACAGAGAAGGAGAAAAGGCAGGACAATACCTCGTGCAGAGGAAATGCAGCTTCATAGGAGCCATTAGTAAGCAAACGATTCAGACCTATAACAATAAAAAAGTCCAGTGTGAATCAATACTGAGTTTAAATCATCACAATGTAAGACTAATGTAAGGGTGGTAGTTTTTGGAGAAAACAATCTACATTTTCAAAAGTGGTTCAAAACTACTTGGGGACAACAGCTTAGAAAGTTTTGCTACCTGCTAGGAAACTGGAATCAAGGACTAGAAAATCAGGTTTTCAAACAGAAACAAAACAGTGAAGCACACCTAGCATGGTGCTTGGCACAGAGAAGCGCGTGCGCTGAGAGAACTGGATGAATTAATCATACCAAAAAGATGATTTTCCACCAGGAGTTCTCCCATTTTCGTCCAGAAGCTTTAATATGGACAAACCTAACTCCTCTGCATTAGACTAGTGGGATGACTTTGGAAAGTCCTCTTGTCCTCGGGCCTCAATTTTCTCATCCATAAAATGGGAGAGGGGTATTGGATATGTGGATTTGCAATGTTTTATTGGTTAGATATAAGCCACAGTTTCCACCCACACTTAAGGGGAAGGGACTACACATTGGGGAGTCACCCTAGGGTGTGTCCACCACAGGTTTATGAATTTTTTTCAGAGAACCAGCTTTTGGTTTCATTGATTCTCTCTATTTTTTTGTTTTCCATTTCATGAGTTTCTTCCCTGATTTTTATTATTTCCTTTCATCTACCTACTCTAGATTACTTTAGATTTAATTTCCTTTCCCCCCCTCCTTTCTTAAGGTGGAAGGAAAGGTCATTAATTTGGGACATTTCTTTTCCTGTATAGGCATATAGTGCTATAAATTTCTCCCTAAATACTGCACACTTTTTGATACACTGTGTTTTCACTGAATACAGCAACTTTCTGATTTCCCTTTTGACTTCTTTCACCCATGAGTTATTTAAAAATATATTTAGTTTTAAATATTTGTAAATTTTCCAGAGATGGTCTTATTGATGTCTAATTTAATTCCATTGTGGTCAAAGAATTATTAAGTCTTGTTTTATGTCCCCAGGTATGGTCTCTTGGTAATGTTCTGCATGCACTTAAAAAAAACGGGTATTCTACTGTTGGTGGTAAAGTGGTCTAAAAGATCAATTAAGTTAATTGTACTGTACTGTTCAGTTCTTCTAACCCCTACTGATTTTCTGTCTACTTGTTCCATTAATTATTGAAAAAGGGGTATTGAAACCTCTGAGTATAATTATGGACTTGCCTATTTCTTTCAGCAGTTCTTGCTTCATGTGGTTTGAAGCTCTGTTATTAAGCATATAAACATTTAGGATTGTTATGTCCTCCAGATGAACTGACTCCTCCATCACTGTAAAGTGGCTTCCTTTATCCCTGGTAACAGTCTTTGCTCTGAAATCTATTTTGTCTGATATCAATATAGCCACTTCAGCTTTCTTTTGGTTAGAGTGCTATATATATATTTTTGATCCTCTTACTTTTAACCTATTTGTGTCTTTAAAGAGTGTTTTCTTGTGGGCAGCAAAAAAATTAGGTCTCGCGTTTTTTTTTTTTTTTTTGTGGTATGCGGGCCTCTCACTGTTGTGGCCTCTCCCGCTGCGGAGCACAGGCTCCGGACGCGCAGGCTCAGCAGCCATGGCTCACGGGCCCAGCCGCTCCGTGGCATGTGGGATCTTCCCGGACCGGGGCACGAGCCCGTGTCCCCTGCATCGGCAGGCGGACTCTCTACCACTGCGCCACCAGGGAAGCCCAGGTCTTACTTTTTAAATTTAATGTCAACTTCTGAATTTTGGACTGGGATTTTCAGAACATTTCTATTTAATCCTTTGTGAATTAAGAGGTGTTCCAATCTCACTGGAAATCCTTTTGGATTGCTCTTTCTCTGGCCTTGGGTAGTTTCCTGATGTGTGTACTAATCGGTACTCTGCTAAATACTTGAGGTGGCCCTCTGCGGATCTTCAGGGTTCTCTGGGAAGCTCTCTGCTTTCTGGTATGTTGTCCTGTGAACTCTGGCTGCCTTGGTCTCCCTGGACTCCCAGCAACATCTTTTCAACTCAAGGAGTCTACCAGGTTCTGTCTGGATTCTTTTTCCCTGTGTTGCTGTCCAGAAACCATCTCACTGTTAGTAAGCTGGGGCAATTGTAGGGCTCACCTCATTTGTTTTCTGTCCTCGGGCTTCCCTGTCCTTGACTGCCCAATGTTCAGTGTCTTGAAAATAGTCGTCTCATACATTTTTTGTTTTTCCTTTTTTGACTGTTTCAGGTGGGAGAGCAAATCCTGCGCCTGTTACTCCATCTTGGCCAGAGGTGGAAGTGTAATGTTTTGATCGTTAAAAGTTTCTTTCAGATCAAGAGTAATATCTCCATGCTTTAGATCCTGATGAGAGCCCAGAGGCTTAGCCTAACTGGAAAATGGAACATGCACTGATTCACTTTTTATTGATGGAGGGTCAATTAACGTTTAGGTATTTTTAGTCATGGTAACATGATTAAATGTATTTTAAGATGCTTTGACATTCACCCTAAATGTCTAAGAAAAGCATCTGAAATACAAATATCCATAGGGCTTTGTATTTTGTCTAGCACACAGGAGGCCCTCAATAAATACCTTTGTAATGAATGAATAAATGATTATGTAGAAAGCTTTGATTTTCTGGAGCCTCCATCAAGAATTCTACATATATCATCAATAACTTTCAAATATCCCAGAATAATGGGAAAAATAGATTCACGGGGACCTAATAAGAGACTTCTCATGATGACCTTTGTAAATTTATGATAATTTATCACAGACCTGAAAAGTACAGAAGTAGATAATATTTAAAATCCATCACCTTTTTACTAACTTCCCCTTTGAGCACCAGTTTTGAAAATATGACTTCATCTCAAGGTTTATTTTATGTTTATATTGTTAAATAAATCTTTGTTGATCTATTAATTGCTCTATTTTGAAAATGGATTTCACTAGGTTTGATTTTCAGAGTTGTAATAAACTCAGAGTGAAATTGAAAAACTTACATAGTGGTAATTTTTGCTCCACTGAAATACCCTTATAAATCATGTTTACAGACAGTATTTTTGTATTATCTCTAATCAATGTTGGCTCATGCAAGATGCCACTTTCAGAAAGAGTTTCAGGCAGACAATAACACAGGATAAACATTAATTCTATCAATAAATTTTCTTCTAACATGTTGTTTCTTTTATTTATAAAACCAAAGATGATAATGAAACATTGGGTCAACAGCATTTATAGTTCTACTCCATATTTTTCAGCATAATGTCTGATCTTGGGTTAGTAATTTATTCTGAGATCGGTTATTTCTAACCAGATATTTTTTTCAGTTCGTCATTACTGATTTTCAAAGCACTGGGGCTCTAGAAGAGAATTCTCCTTCTTTCATCAAACGAGAGAAACTTTTACAACGATCATTTCTTACTAGTAACAATACTACACTTCTCGTGTTTTTTCAAAACATTTAAAAATTATTGTCTTTGCCCCTTTTCTGTCTCCATCTTGACTAGTTGTAAAAAATAACCCACATTTTGAGATGCAAAAGTTAAGCACAATAACTGCTATATGGCCTCACTGTACACAGTCTTTGATTGTGTAAGAATGCTGATGGTTAGACATTGATCATGTTTAAAAGATTTTCAACTCAGTTCAACAAGCACTCCTCCTATATGCTAGATACTGTGCTAGGCAATGATGATACAAAGGTGAATAAGGCAACTTATTTACAATTGAGGAGCTTATTATCTAGATCAGCAGTTTTTAGCTGCAGATTCTCAATACCCTAGTATGTTAGAATGAGCTGTGAGGCGTGCTGGTATTATACTACCAATATTAGCGAAGGGAGTGTTTTTAAAAATTATTTGCATGTTATGAAATAATCCAGAATAGCTACTGCCATAATCATTTCACTTCCACTCACTTGTTTTCTAGCATGTTCCTGATATGATGCTAACCAAGAAAAGTATGATAAAAGTATATATAGCACATCCTAAGTTTGTTAAAAAAAATCACGTGGACAAATGGGGTATAAAGATGAAAAGAGTAACTAATGTGATACTTAAGTTATTTGGTACGCAAAAATGTCAACAGTGGTTCTCCTTAGTTGGTAGAATTTTCATAATGTCATCGAAAGTAAGTAATTCAACATAATGAAAGAAGAGTTGTACATGATTGTCAAATAGTCTCTGCAAAAATAATTGCCATTGGAATTCAGAAGAGGAAATCCTTGGAGCTAGAATGGCCATGGAGGACATTACTGGGTCGGGGGGGGGATGTGTCCCAAGGATGGATGACTGCTGCAGAGAATATGAGAACGTGCTAACCTACAGCCCCATCCAAGTCAAGAAAGCCCTAAGTCAGGTTGAACTTCACCATAACCACCTACATTGACTCTCACTGAACATATGATTCCAGGTGTATTCAGATCTGGACTAGGTATCTGTTTCTCCCTATAGTATTTTAATTTATGCAGCTTGGGATCAAAGTAGTGTTTTGCAGCTTCGGCATACTAGTGACTCACACTTGTATTCAACTAAACCTCCCAAGCCTATCTCTCTTCATGATGTGTTGAGCAACATTTCTCCCACACGGTATCAGGGTAGCTGTTTCGCTGAGTTTGAGTGCAGCACTTTACATTTACAAAACTATTAAGTGCCATCTTTTGGATGTGGCTGAGATTTCCAGATCACTGAGGTCTATTAGGATCTGACTCCAATGACTAACATAGTGCATCCTTACAGCCTCCACCCCACCTGAAAGCCTGATGAGAAGACTCTTTAGGCTATGTGCCAGTTATCAATTTATTGCCCCTTAGCTCCAAATACAGGTTCATTGCCTGCTTTGCAATAATGGAGCTGGACCTTGTAAATATTTCTCCTTTGCCAGGTGGTACAATGGTAAGCTTTGTCAGTAGAAGGCACTGGAGGGACAATGGGGGAGGAAGGAGTTTGTCCTCCTGGTACTAGCATGCTCCTCTCAGTAGGCTTCTGCAGCTCATAGCTTCTGTGGAATCCAGCACCTGCAGTGCCTGGTGGCCAGCAGCCCTGGCACCTCCTTAAGGGCGGGTGTCCCCCTGAACAGCTTCACAGAGTAATAACGCTGGTGCAACACCTCCCAATGAATGGCTTCCTTGGAACCCCTCCAGGCAGCTTCTCCCAGTGCTTGAGATGGCAGATTCGCAGAGAGTCCTCCTGGCACAGAAGCCCCAGCAAACTGCTCTGCCATCTAGTGAACCACAGCTGCACCCTTTCCAACAAGGTCTGCATCTCAGCTTTGTTGTGGGGAGTCTCTGTAGGGGTGGTGGCTGCTCCTAATATCTGCTCTTGTTCTATTCCTTAGAGTTCTTCTTACCCTTTACTAGCCAAACCTCTGTCACAGTCAGTTATTTATATTAACTTTCCCTGTTCAAATTCTGTGTGGCTTTTGTGTCCTGATTAGACCCTGACTGATATAAGTCATTCTTCAAAGTATTGATAAAAATCTCACTGGGACAGAGATACCCAAAAACAAAGCCACCCAAATCCTCCTGATACATAGTAATCTGTTTAATAAGGAAGGATATTTGGTAATATATTATGGAAAGACTCTCGTACAAATGCCCCAAGTATAATGTGTGGAGGTTATTTACTGGGGGAGGTGATTATTTGGAGGATGTACTTATGTGTGACGGCTCTTCCCTGCCCTTTGCTGCTCCCTGTGCCTGGAACACCTGCTCTTCCAACTTCCCACACTGGCTCCCTCTTGTCATTCAGGTTTCAGTGCAAATTCAGCGTCTCAGAAAAGCTTTCCCGGACCACTCCATCCATCTCAGCTTGAACTCACCCCCACCCCTTAGGCGTCTATCTCTGAAACATCACCCATTTCGATGTCTTCATGTTATGTATTGTGTTTACTTATTTATTGTCTGTTTTTAACTCCTTGAACATATGCTCCAGGAGAAAACAGTGCCCATCTCCCCAACACCTCACCCAGTACCTGGCACATAATGGGTGCTCCTTACATATTTGTTGAATTGAGAGCACTTCTCCATGATCTTAGATAAATGAGATGCCATGCTATTTTTTAAAAAGCAATCTAAGGCTTCTATTAAGATTTTACACTTCTGAGTTATCCATCAGGGGAGTATGCAGTTAGAGGCTTTATGAATGATGAGCATCTCTAGAATTGATATCAACTTAATAAAACCAAAGGATAGAGTCTGTAATCCCCCAAATCAAATGTAGCTTGTTACACTAATATACTACTTACCAATTTTGTTTTTACCTTCTTCATACTTTATTCTTTGTAAAATATGATGTACAATTCTACTTCTCGTGGCGTTGTTGAAGAAAGTATCTTTGTTGTGTATGATGAAGCTGCACACACATATTGAAAGCACAAACTGAGGATTAATTGGAGGCAAGGGATCTAATCTTTGATATAATTTGGTGTGACTTAGATAGAGGTGTCTTCCATCTGTCACAGAGAGGGGATGTCTGGAACAGCATGAGAGAACCCAGAGGTCACACCAAAGGCAAGAGGCTCACAAATCTCGGCAGTTTGGTTCTCAGCCTCCTGAGAACATTCACATGATTATGTCGGGAAAGAGCTGGAGCTAAATGAAATTAAGTAACTTTCAACTAATACCAAGGCTAAGCCTCATATCTTGTTTTTTTTTTTTTTCCTCAGTAAGGTCGTTAGATAAATTCAACTAAAAATTCATTTGGTTTTTATCTCCTTTTGTCGTCTACCTCATCCCCTCCCATGTCATTTTCAGGAATTTTAATATCTGAAACTGGTTTGGGTGATAGACGCAAGAGTTAGGTAATGAGCTCTGGCCTGGCTCAGGGGTGAGGTCAGAGGCGCGTCTCTAGAAATTGCCTCTCTCCGCTCCTTTCCCATGTTCCTCCACTCCTGGAAGGGGTTCCCCCTCTCTTCTAGAGCATGTACTTAAGATTGCTGCTCTCTCAGCCAAGGGCCCACCCACAGCCTCTGCAGTTTCTCACAGGACTCATGCGCGCACACACACACACACACACACACACACACACACACACACCCCGCAACACTGAGTTCCCAGTAGGTGTTCCTACCCTACTGAGAGGTTTTCCAGGTAACAGATAGAGCTTCCAAGACCATACAATGCAGCATGAAGTGGCCAGGTCTTCCCCTCCCAAGAACGTGTTAAATGGTAGAATATTAGAGATACTGGGAAAGTATAATTGCTTTGTAAATTATAAAGTTTATTAACTCAGCAAACTTTTCTTTGGTGCTTTGCATGAATTGGACACCATGCAAGGCTTATCAATGGTAGCAGCCATCACCCTCAAAGTCCAGCTCAGAAGTCACCTTCCTCAGCAAGTCTCGCCATCCCTCCAACTGCACTTCTGCCACCTAAAGAGTTCAGTACTCTCTCCTCTCTATTAAAATTTCTTTTCCCAAGAAGATGAATTCTTAGGTGTTGCTCAAATCATTCGGAGATAAAACTGGCCTGGAGAAAGGGTGGTCCAAGCATGGGGTTTAGCTTGGCAATAGAACTGGGAATGTGAGTTTGGGGTAAAGGAGAAAAAGGCCAGAGAATATGAAGACAAAATGTGAATCACATGGACCGATTTCTTGGAGAAGGACTTTCCTCTCGTTTCCATTTCTCTTGTCCTCTGTTATAGAATACTGTTCTCAGAAAAAAGTAATTTGACTTGGTGGAGGAGAGATAAATGCTATGTGGGTAAATGAGAAAGCTGCGGCATTTATCTTATATCTTCTCTAAGGTTTTCTGAAAACTTTTTTTTTTTTTGCAGTCTGCGGGCCTCTCACTGTTGTGGCCTCTCCCGTTGCGGAGCACAGGCTCCGGACGCGCAGGCTCAGCGGCCATGGCTCACGGGCCCAGCCGCTCCGCGGCATGTGGGATCCTCCCGGACCGGGGCACGAACCCGTGTCCCCTGCATCGGCAGGCGGACTCTCAACCACTGAAAACATTTTATGGCATCGAAGAGGAAGAGGGGAAAACTAAGAGTTACATCAAATGCGGTTCCTTTTACTTTATCCTCCTCTGCTTTTTCACCTTATTTGAGACAGACCACTACACTTTAATACCAATAAAGATGGCATAAAGAAGGAGACAACAAATAAAAAAGCCCATTTTTGACTCACAATTTCAGATAACTGAAAGCTGATAAGCATGACTGTGCTTGACAAGACAATTCTGGGCTAAAAGCGCGTGTCCCTCCTCCATTAAATGGTTTTCCGTTTCCTTCTATTTTTGATAGCACCCCATTACATTTTGGGAGCTCATGTAACAGTTCTCTATAATGAGCACCACAGGTGAACTTCACAATTTTGTTTTCCTCTTCTTTACATCTAGGTTGTTACCTGGATCCTGGAGATTCTACAGTGGGAACAAATATACAGAGCATGTGCTTCCAGGCCATATTCTAAGCTCCAGATATGGTAACTCATTCCATGCTTATAATAAGCCGGGAGGTCAGTACTGTATAGCCCCATGTTACAGGTGAAGAACCAGAGAGGTTAAGTGATGCACCCAAGTCACTCAGTAAGTATCAGAGCCAGGATCTGAACTCAGGCAGTCTGGCTGCAGAGGCTGTCATCTTATCCATGCCACTCACTTGCCTCCCTGGGGCAGAAATTTCTGACTCCTGGACGTTGGTTCTCCTGGGGATCAGCCCAAGAGTTGCTCTGCTGGGAATGCTCTCCTTGTTTCTACTTATCCTTAGAGCCTCAGCTCAGGTCACATCTCCCTCCGGGGGTCTTCCCTGACTCCCCCACGTACACCCTGAAGAGTAATGTGGTGCTACGAAAAGAGAAGGGAGCAGAAAAACCATTTCATGAAGGAGAGAGATGAAATTTTAGCTTCAGCATCACGCCCACTTTCCCTTAAGACTTTGAAGTGAGACAGACCTCGGCCTGAACCCCAGCTTTGCCACTTACTGTGTGGTGTTGGGACTGTCTCTCAACTTCCCTGGGTCTTGGTTTCCTCATCTGTGAAATGGGATAGCACTGTAATCATTTTCATAGGGTTTCTGCAGAATTTGGTGAGGCGAGGAACACTGCTGAGCCTGAGTCTGGCATTTAATCAGCTCTCAGAGTTGGCTGTCACCATTGCTGTTGTTTCTATAATATTATATAGAACTTGTCTGCCTACATGACTGTCTTCTCTGTAAGAGCTTCTTCAGAACAGGGACCGACCATGTGCATCTCTATTTCCAGCACTGGTACGGGGTTTCGCATATGATAAGCCCTTAAAGTTGGCTCAAATGAGAACAAATGAGATCTTCTGGAGAACCCCAGCTAACGGGGGGGGGGGGGTTATGAGACTAACTCTCATCTCATTATAGCTTGGCCTCTATTTCTGCTTCCTGGAAATCTTTCTACCCACCCCATCTTTCCAGCTACCATATGAACTATTCTCTCCACGTTACTTGTCTAAGGATCTTCTTGTAGGGTGTGGAGCAATCTCATTTTCTCTGTCATTCCTTCAAACTGGAGGGCTAAGAGAAAGAACAGTGATGACCTCCTACATCACGCTTCTCGAGCTTTTCTTAGCCACTTACAAAACAACCCTCTTCAAATGAAATCACACACAAACACCATGTAAGTGGAGCTGTTGGGGAAATGTAAGACTTGGTACTCAGTCTCTGAGGTATGAGGGTTCCACCCAGGCTTAGAAACTCAGCTCTGCTTTCACACATTGCTGCTGGGCAGCAAACAAGTACAAATTGTACGAAGGCATCTTGACCAGGTCTATCAAAATTATTCATATAGCCTCATCACATCTCCTCTGATCTAGCAATTCCTCTCTGGAAATCTATTCTACAAGTATGCTCACCCATGTGCAAAGTGACAGATGTACAAGAATGTTCATTGTGGCATGGGTTATAATAGCAAACCTCTGGAAATGACCTAAATAATTCATCAGCAGAGGAGGGGATAAACAAATAATGGTACAACTCTACAATGGAACACTGCAGCTGTAAAGAGATTAAGGATGCTCAGTGTAGATATAAGAAATCTCCAAGATACTACAGGGCAAAAATAAGGTTCAAAACAGTCATACAGCTATTTGTGTCCAAGAGGAAAACATATACACGTAAAGGAGTACATAGATATATGTGTTGACATGTATGTTTGCCAGTGCACACACAGAATGACTATGGAAGGATATATAAACATCTGGAAAGACTGGTTGCCTATGGGAAGGACTAGGTGACTGGGAAGGTAGGAAGGAAACTTCACTGTACACACTTAAGACATTTATGTCATAAGTAAGTACTACCTATAAAAAAAAACCTGTAATATTAGAAAAAAGAAAATTTAAAGGGAAAATGCAATTTCTGTTCTAGGTTGTTCTTACTTTCACACTCAGTGGTGAGGAGGGGAATAAACTGCTGAATTGGTGGAGGATCAACTATATGATTAAGGCTCTAAACATCTATCTCCTTATCCTACCCTTTGGAGGAATTCTTTAACATGCCCAAAGTCATACAACCAGCAGGTGTTGAGAAAGGGTTAACCCTGGTGGCGCAGTGGTTGAGAATCCGCCTGCCAACGCAGGGGACACGGGTTCGTGCCCCGGTCCGGGAAGATCCCACATGCTGTGGAGCAACTAAGCCTGTGCGCCACAACTACTGAGCCTGCGCTCTAGAGCCCGTGAGCCACAGCTACTGAGCCCGCATGCCACAACTACTGAAGCCCGCGCGCCTAGAGCCCGTGCTCCGCAACAAGAGGAGCCACCGCAATGAGAAGCCCGCGCACCGCAACGAAGAGTAGCCCCCCGCTCACTGCAACTGGAGAAAGCCCGCGCGCAGCAACGGAGACCCAACACAGCCAAAAATAAATAAATAAATAATAATTAAAAACAAAAAAAAACAACAACCCAAACGCCTTGCTCCAAATCTTCCCATTCTTTTGTAAAAGGAACTGCTGGAAGGTCTGCCTGTGCGCATGTGTGTGAAGGGGGCTCTCTGAATGCTTCCATCTTGCCCTATGAGGAAGGCCCTGCTCACTAAGTAATGGACAGACCTGAGCCTGAAGCTCCCGCTGACCCCCTCCAGGACCTCTACCCTCCTGACGTCCCTGGGGGAGAGCAGCTCTTGCTTTTTACCTGGAAAGGCTCCGACCTCCTTTACTCAAGGACGGGTGAAACAGAAAAGGAAAACGCTGTGAAACTGAGGTTTAACTCCAGACCTCCTGGAGCTGTGGTTATTTGCTCTTTACTGATATGTTCTCCTGCAGTCCACTGTGCGTGTTCATGGCAGTGTTGCAGAGTATCACAATATGCTGTTTGTTTAGCAGTCAAGCATTCTGTTTGCTCTGTGCAAAGCACTGTGTGTTGAGGGTGTTATACATGGAGGTGGGGGGC